AATACAAGAAGAATGGTGTTGTTGCTAAAGTTGTTGGTAGTACTGGAAAATATGGAATGCAGTCAGAGGTAATTTATATTTATTTAAATATAAAAAATGCATAATAGAACTATGGGAAATAAAAAAAACTGACTCCCTATAAACTGAACTAAAAAATATCCACTGGTTTAAACTTTCGTGAAATTATTTTCTTATTAACCCTTATGTTTTGTATAATATACCATACATATCTTATATATTAAATCCTCGTGTCACAATTTTCGTTCCCATACTCCTCCGAAACGGGTTGACCGATTCTTATGAAATTTTGTGAGCATATTGAGTAGGTCGGAGAATTGGCCAACATCTATTTTTATCCCGCGCGGACGGAGTCGCGGGCGACAGCTAGTAAGATTATAAAAATATACGATCACGATATAATTTTTAACTTAGTTTTTGCTTTTCAAAAAAGACATCTTGCCGCAATAAGGGTTAATATATGAATGCGGATTTTTGGATGGATGTTTATTTGAAAGTATCACTGGAATGGCTCAAAGGATTTTTAAGCAATTCAACACAGATGTAGATTAAGTCTAGAAGATCTCATAGGCAACGTATCAAGATTTTTTTTTATTCTGCGCGGATGTCAGATAGTAAATGGATTATAATAACAGCTTCGTTTAGTTAGTCCGATTTCGGCATCGATTAATTTCATATGACTGGTTGTTTAAGTTTTTTTTATTATTTTTTGTTTTACAGGTCGTAGTGAAAGTGAATGGAGATTGTGTATTGAATACAAGGTTAGCGAAGGTATACCGCATGTGGGAGGAGACCAGCTACCAGCTGGAATGTCTGCAGGCAAACTCAGACTGTGTTACACAAGAGTGGCTGGGTAAATATATTTCTTAGATTTGGTTTAGCTTATGCTCATAACCCAGAGGGGTAGGTAGTGACTAAGATCCTGAAACATGACTCGAGAAATTGTAATAAAATATAATAAAAAAAAAATATCAGAATACTAGCTGTTGACCGCGACTCCGTCTGCTCGGGATTAAAATAAAACTTTATTATTAGGCTATGTATTCTTCCAGAATATGGTTTACTTCTATGCCAAATTTCAGCGAGATCCATGCACCCGTTCTGGAGATACCTTTTAACAAAAATCCATCTATCCATCCATTCATTACATAAGTAAGATTTTATCTTTCCTGATAGGTCTGGAGAAACGCAAAGGAGTAACATATAAGGCGACATTCGACCCGGCCGCAGCTGTTGTTAAATCAAACTCAGTGAAAGTCGCTGTTATAAGAGAGGAAGGTAAGTTGTTGACTCTGAGTATGGTAATGTTCAAGTACTGTATATGTTCACTATCAAAATATTAGTATACTGTAATTATGTTTGACGAAACAAAGACTTACTTGTTACAAATGTTTCGGAAGTGACAATGCAATAACTAAACTATGTATTAAATATGAATTAATATCATGACTTATCTAGAAATCTTATATCTTTGAAGAATTTTTTAGCTGAAATAATTTATTGTTATATTGTCCGCGACTCTGACCGCGATGAAATGAAATAGTCTAACTGTTCTTTCAGACCATGTTCTACATCTCTGCCAAATTTCATCGATATTCGTTCAAGCTGTTCTACAAATATCTTCAAACAAACATCCATCTAAACATTCGCATTTATAATATTAGTAAGCAGTAAAATTTCTCTTTTTATATCAATATTTTTTTTGTATCAGGTACGAATGGTGATAGAGAAATGATAGCGTCTCTCATGATGGCCAACTTCGAGGTGTTTGATGTGACAATGAGCGATTTGCAGGCGAAGAAGATCACCCTGGATGCATTCAAAGGATTGGTCTTTCCTGGTGGTTTCAGTTATGCCGGTAAAGTTTATAAAAAAAAAACTTGTTTTTGTATAAACGCGCCATTGATGTTTTAGGCTACATTTGATAAGTTCCTTTTTTATACATAGAATCTACCTGTCGTCCGAGACTTTGTCCGCGTAGTAATAAAAAAAACGTAATTAGTAGCTTATGTGTTGTTTAAAATTATGTTCTACATCTATGCTAAATGTTAGCTAGATCCGTGGATTCGTTCTAGGGATAGTTTATAACAAACATTCATCCATACATTTAAACATTCGCATCTAAAGGTATAATACCAGGACGATTACATAATAAGTTTTAAATTTTTTTTTCTAGAAATTAAATTGATGTTTATTTGATTGTTAATTAACGTTGGTAGGAGTTAGTTTTAAATAGCGTTTTCTTTATATTAAAAAAATTACAACGAATTGCTATGAAGAGTAGTATTTTCTAATTATCAAAGAAAATTTACATATTTATAAAATTGCTATTATTTCATTTAAAACTTTTTGAGGTAATTAAAAAAGTGTAAAATTTCCATTACAATAATGTTTATCAAAAACTTTTAATGAACAACAACAACAAGTTGGGATGTGTTACATCAGAAAGGAGGCCGCGACCCCAACCTCACCTAACCCTGACTGATAAATTACAACACTGACTTATTTTGTTTGTTATAAATAGATTTCAAGAACATTACAAGTACCTCATAATGTATTTTTCTAATATTACAAATGCGAATGTTGGATGGATGAACATCCATCCATCCATCTGTTTGAAGATATCTCCAGAAAGGCTGCATGGATCTCGATGATATTTGGCATTGATTTAGAACATAGTCTGAAAGAACACCTAGACTACTAATTAAGTTTTGTTTTAATTCTACGCAAACGGAGTCGCGGGCGACAGCTAGTAAGAGATTTTTTTTTTCAAACTAAAACATGAGTAATCAGTTAATATGTTATTTTTACTTGCGATGAAAATAGAAGACTTTTTTTTAACAACATAACAATTTCAGACACCCTCGGGTCTGCCAAAGGCTGGGCAGCTGGCATACTATTCTCTGAGAAGTTGCACGCTCAGTTCGCGCACTTCAAGAGCAGAGAGGACACGTTCTCCCTGGGCGTGTGCAATGGCTGCCAGCTCATGGCCATGCTGGGCTGGATCGATGTTGATGACTCCAAAAACTATGCCAATAAGACGCAGATATTCCTCGACCATAATCTCTCGGAAAGGTATGTTCCATTATAAGGATTAAAGAAGCCATATTAATGAAAGTAATATATCCAACATCCATCTCCAAAAGTATTTCTAAGTTGCCATTTTTGTAGGGAAAGCAGTTTATCCACTGTACCCTAAGACGCAAAGAGTGATAAAGAAATATGTTTTGGACACAAAATAAAATACAAATATTAATGCCCTATGCCTATCTTACCGAACCGAAAATGAATATAATAGTTGTTGTAGAGATTCATCTGGTAGAATTATCACCTTACCACTCTATATGGGATTTTATTCTGATAATTTAAATATTAATGTTTTATGTACTCTATAGGTTCGAATGCCGGTGGAGCGCTGTGAAAATAACAGAACGCGCCGATGACGTGTGGTTCCGCGGTATGGGCGGCAGCGTGGTGGGCGTGTGGGTGGCGCACGGGGAGGGGCGCTTCGCCCTCGCCGAGCCACGCCTGCTGCAGCGCCTCAAGGACAACGGACAGCTCGCCATGCAGTACGTGAACGACGATGGAGCACCCACTGAGGCTTACCCAATGAATCCCAATGGAAGTCCCGGTAAGATTTTGTTATAAACCTTCATGTCTTTGAGCCTAAGATGGAACATTACAACAAGTTCCTTTCTATGTCTTCCTACGTCTGAAAAGTGTCATTTAGTGACAGTTTAATTCTAAAATAATTTATCAATATCTACTTAAAAAGGGAATAAAAATATGATGTAACTTATTAATCTTACCTATAAGAATGTAATACAAAGAAGAAAAAAATGTATGAAAAAATTACAACCAAGCGCTGCCAAAGTTGAAATGACACTAAAACATATGTTTACTATGAGACATTTGATAATTAAAATGGTGATTTGCAGAGGGCATAGCGGGCGTGCGGTCTCGCGACGGGCGGCACGTGGCCATGATGCCGCACCCCGAGCGCTGCGTGCTGCGCTGGCAGTGCCCAGTCCCGCCCCCAGCCTCGCTCCCCGCAGCCGCTACCACACAAGCTTCGCCCTGGCTCAGACTATTCCAGAACGCCTACATCTGGGCTGCTAATAAAGCTTAGGGAAATTCAACCTTCTGTTATATAAAGTAGAGTTTAAATTTTATCTACTTGATATTAGGAAAATGTTGCCATATCGCTAATACTGACAGATTATAATTTTTATAACTGGCAATATCATTAATTGTCTTTTGTCTCTTGCAACGTAAAACGTTGCTTAATGGATTTTTTTAAATTTGCTAAAACTGACCATTTTGTCAGTTTTACTTTTTTAAGATGTTTGTGGCACATATATAGAATCAGATTCTACCAGACTCCTGTATATTCATTCTAAACAGAACGAATCGACAATTTGCGAAATCAAAATCCTTTAATTTAATAATACATTTATAGGTTTAAGTGACAATATATGTAATTTCATATTTTTAATGATAACTCGAATTCTATAAGACAAATAAACTAATACAAAATAAACAAAAAAATATATTAATTTTATATTGTTCTTAAATTTACGTGTAAGAAACAATGATATATTATATTAAAGTATGAATTTATATGGGACCAGACTAATATGTAATTGAAATAGAAGTAAACAAGATTTGAATGATCTTAATGACTAAAGTTTGAATGACTCATCTAGTTGATCCAGGATTAAAATGCTATTTCATATTAAAAAGCCAAAAACATCTGGCATTTATTTTACATTCCATACTTTTATATTAGTTTATATTTTTAACCAATGTTATTTGATTTTTGTAAATAAATGAAAATAAAATACATACCTTAGTTTATTTATTGAAGTAAAACTAACACAGGTTACAGGATAAAGTACAATTATTTTTTTAATTCAATATTAATTTAGAAAACAAAACAAAGATAGTTTTATTCCAAAAATATATATTTTATGATTTTCCTTAACAATATGTCCTATATTATTATATAATTTTATTAGCAAGTAAAAAGAAAAGTAAAATTCACACATAAGATTAGAAGAATGCATAAATACATTTTTATAAACCAATATAGTTTTTTTTTAATAAATTGTTAGTTTATTTTTTAAGAAGCTCAACATTGGTTTTAAAACCTTGAGTGCCAATCCCAAATGAGTGGGCTAAGGCCAGGAAGATAATGAAACTGTCATGGTTTGTTAAATTTATCATATAAGATTGCAAAAATCTATATGTTGGTGTGATTTGTCAAGTAAGACTTAAATCCACACTTTACATTTGGGCACACAGAATGTTTTTTCTTTAAAATTTCCATTTACTTCAAAATCATGATGTGCTTATCTGCATATAATGAACTTTATTTAATAAAAGTGTGCAGTTTTAAGTCACTTTTGCTTCAAAGAATTAGGCGGAACACATGCTTAGTATTCTTTGTAGGGTTATATAACCCTAAATGTACATACATTTATAATTATTAAATCTGCAGTTTATTTTTTTTGTAAATCACAGTTAATTTTTTTTATGTATTGAATCAAACTAGTGCTTTACCACAAACCCACTTGATAGTAAGTGGCTTAATGGTATGCACTAGTAACAACTGGTTATTTAAATTATATGTTCATTGAAATTATATCTTGTAACGATCTACTTATGTCTTTTCTGCGAGCTTTTTCTAATGCTTCACACAATACGAAAAACCATCTCTGAGGATCAGCTTTGTGTTCATAAGCTTCTAAAAGTTTTGCCGCTTTTGTTGATAGATTCTTGTTGTTTAAATCAATTTCATCTATAACACATTCACGAATCTTGAGATTTCTTGCTAGGTCACGCCAAAAAATTCCTATTTCTTCTGTTATTGTTTCCAATATTCTTTCCTTTTTCCGTTTACTCATTGTACCCAACGGATTACTGTTCATTGTCTCAATAGTCTCATTTTTGGATGTACTATGATTATGATGTTGGTCAACCACTGAAATTTTTATTAATTATTAATGCATTTTTAATGTAATGTAATTGATTCTACAGAATATAAACTAAGTTATTTTGAGTAAGATAAAAGAACCAACAATATTTTTTTACCCTTAAAATGAGTAGTTTGCATTAAACATGTAGTTAATTAACTTTAAATTATAAAAGTAGATCAAATTGATCAATTTTATAGATTTAAGCAGATTCTTAAAACTACAAGCATTAACCACTGTGGTTATCAACAATGTTGAACTAGATGGGCACACCGATTAAGAAAATGCAGTGCATGATGAAGGAAAATTGATACAAGAAATAACTTTAATTTACCATATTGGTTGATGTTTCCTCGCGGGACATGAGTCGATTCGTAGTTATCTATTTTGCGTAAAAGTTCCCTGTTGTTTAAAAGTCTCGAAGCAACTTCTTTAAGGGGCATAACATTATCTTCTGATAAAATGTCTCTTATTTCCAATACTCTCATTAATTCTCCTATAGTATTTATATTCTCCAATCTTCTTGGAGAATCAATTTCATCTTTATAATATTCTTTTAGTACACCTAATATTTGACTATGTTTATCACTTTGACCTGCGCTTAATATTATTTGTTGTTTTAGATGAGAATAGTCTGTTAAAGTCATTCTTAATATAAAAATACTTTTACTTTTAGACGTAATTTTTTTGATAAAAAAACCATAAACTTATTCGTTCAAAACTTAAATAAATCTCTAAAACACCTTGGAATGTTCTAATGTCTTGATGACACTGACAAAACAGAATAATGGTTTACGATTCGTTTCACATAAACATGCCTTTTTTCTTGCAAAAAAATAATAAAAACAAAAATAGTTTGACTGAATTGTGTGTGGATGTTGCTGTCAATAAAAAAAATCATTTAAATATTTAAACAAAACTTGTTGGTTGTGATCAATGTTACATAATAAACGCAAATATCATTTAATTTAAAACATTTATGCGTGTCATGAACGTACTAAAACGAAACGTAATTAACTTTTTTCTCGGGATTTACCGGGAAAAGTACTTTTCTCTGGGCTATATAGTCTAGACATGCTATATTAAACGTGAAATATTTCTTAAAAATAGCAATTTCAAATGTATTTTTGAATCTCAACACGAAAGGCAATCCTTTAATAAAAAAAAATACATGTAAAGTTTTTTATTATAGGATTGTCTTCATTTTGTCAATAAGAATAATGTAGCTAGATTTATAGAAAAAAAGAGAATAATTAATTAATAATATTAAAAAAGTTATATTTATAACTATAGTTAAAATAGTATGTTTCTTCAATCAGCAGTTAAACAAAAAAAGGGAAATGATCAGTTTGATAGCATTCTAAGACAAAGTAATGAATTACACTGCCGAAACACGTATATTAAAGCTTTTTGTTATCAAAGAAGATGAGAGGTACGTTTTATACGAATGTTTCGGCAGTCGATACTCACAATAAGATACGTCTCTACATGTTAGTCGTTGAAAGTAAGAGTTATGATAATAGGTCATTTAGAATTTACGATATAGTTGCATTACAGAAGGCAGACGATTGTGTTTATTAATGTTTCTTATCGGGGAATAGCAAAGTGCGCTATGACCCTACTATCAGTATGTTTCGGACTCTTTATATAGTTAGACAATAATATGCTTAAAGTTGTGTAAATTAATTAAAAAATCAACAAAAATGTATAGATTTAGTACTAATAAATCATTATCCAACGTTGTAAAAAAAGTTTTAAGCGGTCATAAGAATTATCGGAAAAACGTGTTAAGATGTGCTTCCTCTCATAATGTAGGGTCGGAAAATTTATTCCCTGAAAGAGTAGACTTTCCCAGTAGACACATTGGACCTAGAGATCAGGATGTAGTCACAATGCTGGATTTACTTGGGTACAAAGTATGTATTAGTACATTATTTGTGTATTTTTACGAGAAACTGATTTTAAGTTTTGTAATTTCAATTTAGAGTTTAGATCAGCTGACAAATGATGCGGTGCCCAAAAAAATTCAGTTACAAGGCCTCATGAATATCGATGAACCTATGAGTAAGTATATTTGCAAAATTATTTTTTATACGTTATTCTAATTTAGCTGTTATTAAGACATGAATGATCGTACCTTCTTTCCTTTATTTTTTTTAAGTTTATACGAATGTCTTTAAGTAGGATATTAACAGTTTATCATCTCAAACTTGCAGGTGAATATGACCTTATTGAACGAGTAAGAAAGATTGCTGAGAAAAATCAAATATGGCGTTCGTATATTGGCATGGGCTACCACAACTGCTGTGTCCCACATACGATTATGCGTAATTTATTTGAAAATCCTGGATGGTAAGACAGATTTAATTTCCATTGTTAAAGCCATCAATAATTTTTTATTTCATTACCTTCAAAGTAGTGCAGATTTGACCATGTTATAGGACCACACAATACACGCCGTACCAACCAGAGGTTGCTCAAGGAAGATTGGAGGGGCTCCTCAATTACCAGACGATGGTCAGTGATCTGACCGGGTTAGATGTGGCAAATGCATCTCTGTTGGACGAGGGTACGGCTGCTGCTGAGGCGTTGTCTCTTTGCCACAGGTAATATAGGTCAATGGTTACAAGCTACTACAGTCAGTCTTTGTATCTAGTGTGCAAAGTGGAAACTGTCTAATCTAGAGTGGATTTTTTAGATTGGAATAACCTCAAGCCTAAACTTTCGTTCTACTTCATAATTTAAATTCAAATGTCATCTTTCAGACATAACAAAAGGACAAAGTTCGTGGTATCAGAACGTCTGCATCCGCAAACACTAGCAGTTGTTCAAACGCGATTGGACGCGCTGGGGCTTGAAGTGAAAGTGGTGCCGGACGTGCGCTCCGCTGACTTCGCGCAAAGGGACATCTCCGCCGTGCTCTTGCAATGTCCCGATACAAGAGGATTGGTTTACGATTATTCCGCACTAGCGGCTACTGCGCATGAACATGGGGTTACTTTTATTCTTTTTTATTATTTTATGTATAATAGTTCTAAAATGTCTTCCTTAGTTCTCTTACAAATTTTGTATAAAATCTAAGGCTTTACATCATGACCAATCAAAACTCTTTTATCTAGACCTTAGTGGTGGTAGCGACGGATCTCCTGGCAATGGCGCTACTGCGTCCGCCGGCGGAGTGCGGCGCTAACCTCGCTGTAGGCACGTCTCAAAGGCTGGGGGTTCCCCTAGGCTACGGGGGACCCCACGCGGGGTTCTTCGCTGCAGAACATGCGCTGGTACGTCTAATGCCAGGCCGGATGGTCGGCGTTACACGAGACGCGTCGGGAAGGGATGCATATAGGTAAGTCTTTGGTACTTTATAACTGCAAAATGTATTACAATAAAACTTTTTAAATCCTGTTAAAGTTATGAACAATGTATTTATAAACCAGCAATTAAATAAAGTTATTTATTAATTATAATCATCCGCCGATTCTAGTTGGTACCCATCAATATTATTTTTATTAGGTTGGCTTTACAAACGCGGGAGCAGCACATACGTCGTGACAAAGCAACCTCTAATATCTGCACGGCGCAGGCGCTACTTGCCAACATGTCCGCCATGTTTGCAGTGTACCACGGACCTCAAGGTCTCAGGGACATCGCCACCCGAGTCCATAACGCAACACTTGTTTTAGATCACGGTAAACAAGGAACATAAAATTTTATAAAGGTTTTTAATTTATAACGGACCTCATTCTATCAAATTTTTAAGTAGTACAGTTCAAAAAATAAGGATGAAATGTAACAATAGAGACATAAAAGTAAAAAGTTATAAATGAAGTAATTTATATTGCGTAGATTATAAATCCCCCTTAAAATTGGTAAAGAGGTTAACACTGTTATTATTTTGAATAAAACTAAACCAGAATCATATTTCCTAGGCATCAGAGGTCGGGGTCACAAGCAGTCCAACGACGTATACTTTGATACGCTCCACATTGTGCCTCATCCCGAGCACGATGCTACAGCTATTAAAGCACGGGCACAGCAAAAGAAAATCAACTTGCGATACTTTGATGATGGTGCGGTCGGAGTGGCGTTAGACGAAACCACAACTATGGAAGATGTACAAGATCTACTGTGGATCTTTGACTGCAATAATGTTGATGAAGTACGTACATTCGATTCTAGTAATATAAACAGTTTTTTTGGTGTTATAGTTGGATGTGATCATTTAAAAGGGAATAAGCTGCTTCCTTCCTTTATCTTATGCTCAGCTAGAATAGAAGTCATGGTTACAAAGTGTACAAAAAGTTTATATGTTGTTAGGTGATAGGAACACAAATAGCTTCTCGTTCTTTGTAGAAACATTAAGATAGAAACGAAGGTTTGGAAGGGAAAGGAATAGAATGATGCTGGTACTTCGTATTTCTTGAGAGTTTACGTTTGTATGTTATTTCTCATTTGTTGTTTTAATTGATTTGATTGTGTAAACGTTATCATTGAATTAGGTCAAGCACATTAAGATCAGGAAAGGTCAATAACGAAAGTTGTACAATAAAATAAATGTATTGCGTATATTCTATTACGATATTGTCGATTAGAGCGCGATTATTCAGAACGTAGATTAATGAAAAAAAATTGGGGCCTAAATATAATTCGTTGGCAATGTTATGAGAATTTACTAATCCAGCTCAAAGGTTTTTTTGACTACAGAACCATTTTAGGAAGTGAAGTATTTGATTTCTAAATTCTAGGTTGCATTATTCTAGGCTTTCGAATAATTAACTCTTTTCTCGAGTCCCTTGTTCAGTTCGCGTTCTAACCTTAACTTTAATGTTAGATAACCTATAATGTGTGCTCCTCGGAGCCCTGGCAAATAGAAATCCGTTATCTAGTATTTCGTAAACAAAGCATGTGAACATAAAGGCGTACTATTTTTCAGGTTCTTCAAACGGGTAACGCTTCCGCAAAAAGCGTATTGAAAGGTCCCTTCCGAAGAACCTCTCCGTACCTCACGCATCCAGTATTTAACATGCATCATTCTGAAACAAGGATTGTGCGGTACATGAAGAGATTAGAAAACAAAGACATCTCGCTTGTTCATTCCATGATACCATTGGTAAGAATATACACAAATGAAATATTTATAATCTCTTTCATTACTCGTGAAATGTTCATAGGTCTTACTTTATACGTTTCAATTGTACGTTTAATAATCTATTTCATCCCAGGGTTCGTGTACAATGAAGCTTAACTCTACAACTGAGATGATGCCGTGCTCGTTCCGCCATTTCACGGAGATCCACCCGTTCGCGCCGCTCGACCAGTGCCAGGGATACCACACGCTGTTCGAGGAGCTGGCCAGAGATCTCTGCGCTATCACTGGATATGATCGCGTCTCCTTCCAACCAAATAGGTTATTATCTGTAGTTTAGTAGACGGTGGTAATCGGAGAAGCATTTCCATGCGTTATTCGCGACTATCAACAGCTTTTCTTGAGAACGGGGAGAGCACTTCGCAGCCGACTTTGATATTAATGATTACTGTGTCCAGCGGTGCTCAAGGCGAGTACGCGGGTCTGCGCACGATCAAGCGGTACCACGAGTTCCGCGGCGACGCGGGCCGCCACATCTGCCTGATCCCCGTGAGCGCTCACGGCACCAACCCCGCCTCCGCGCACATGGCCGGCATGCGCGTCTGCGCCATACGCGTCACCCCCGCTGGAGACATCGATATGGAACATCTCAAGGATTTGGTATGGAACAGCAGGGA